TGCCCTCCGCTCTTCCCCAGTAGCATATTGGACACCTTCCGACCTGAGGGGCTCATCTTCATTTACTATCACTGCAAATGTGTCTGCAAGTGCATGTGTTCATGCACACACCCACACACCCACAAATATACACCTTCTATGAACTCATTATATGGACCGCTTCGTGGACAAACTTTGGAATGTGAGATAAATACTTTGATGTAAGTTCTGTGTACCATTTTTATAGGTTTATGCTATAAAAATTATGCTAATTTCTCTTCTAATATCATCAAGTCATCTGCAAAACATAAAATGCAGAAGACCTGGTGGTAGGATGAACACAACTGAAGCAGATAGAGAAGTCCACTTCTTAGTATGCTGTACTGCCAACTCCTTGAACAGTCTTGTTCACCCTTCAGCTGTGTTGGGATTCATCTCCCATAATTTCCGGCCAGTATTTCAAGATTTAAAATAATCTACGAATAAAATACTTATTCAAAAGTCTTCCAAGTATGCATGTATTCACTTTTTATGCCACTAGACATTCAAACCACTCCTAGTCATGTACAATTTTTCAAGTATGCAGAGTGCTGCAAGTTAAATACAATGTTTACAAACTATGAATGGTTTTTTCATAGTTCTAGTTTCTGAATGCATGGCTCTGAATAGTAACTCAACCTACTCTTATTACAAATAGATTACTCACGTTTTCCCTGGGACAATTCTGACGGGCATACAACTCTTGCCCATAAAGGCAAATAAGGACACCGTGACCAAGGAAGAGTGACGTCCACATGAAGATGTTAAAAATGGGGTTTTTCCGACGGTCATGGAGAATGAAGTTGAGAACGACTGAAGTAAGGAAATAGTCATTAAGATGGTAACCTCCACTCCCCCCCCACACACACAATTGCATCAGAGCACTAGGAAAATGTGGCAATAATAAACAAATGTAATGCATTACAAGGATAGTCTATCAACTTGAAAATAACACTGGTCAAGATGTAAACTGGATTTTAGACTCCAATATGGGAAATTTAAAGGCAGAACCCATAGCTACTAAGAGGAGGAGAGAACCTTTCACTCTGCTCTCTGAATTGCTTTTTCCTTCTTCTACTCTCACAATGCTCCCCTGAAAATCAGGGACAGACTCCACTCACCCCCACCTGTCCTCCAGTAGTGCTCTATTCCCAACAGACCAATCAATTCCTCCATCAGCTTCAAAACTGGCTCCAGAAAAGAGGGGATGTGATCTGAGATCAGAAGTGGCTTCTGGATCAGAAGTTACAAATGCTAGCCATGCTGGAATCTCAGCAGATTACATTTTGGAAATTAAGCATGTATTATTCAAATTACGTTTTTCCCTCAACATTTTGCTGAAGATACTGCTAGAGAGTAAATTTATTACTTACTTCCAAAACACATGAACATGGAGAACATGACTGGATAGAAGTAACCCAAAGCAATGGCCATGACGTATTCATGTACAACAGCAGAAACCGTGAAAACTGACAGCATAGCAACTACTTTGAATTTTTTTCCAAAGAACTGATGTTGACAGACAAACAAGAGAGAGAAGGATATCCAATTAAAAAATATATATATTTGCATAGCTTCTGGAAATCATCCAAAACTTTCTGATAGCATTCTATATAGAGATATGTAAATGCAGATTCTTTCTCCCTATTTTCTATCAGGAGGTATGCTGTTCCAGGCTCCTTTAGAAGAAATAGTGGTGTAAACATAGCACAAAATGAATAAATATGTGATTTTTCATATTCCTCTGAAAAGAGATTTCCCATTAAGTTTTGTACTGTGCTTAAATATAAGCGCATACCAAATAAAAACACTAAAAAAGAAAACTATTAAATTAAAGGTGATTAAGACAGGCCTACATGTAGAGCCACCCCCCCCCCCCGCAAGTCCTGCTGTGTTGCCTCATTGTGGCAGGAGGTGTTTCTGGGAGTGATGAGTGAAGAATGCTGGGAATGTTTGCCAAGAGTACCTACTGCCAGCAGAGTCACCCAAGGCATGGCAGTCATCCCAGCTGCCCAGCTAAAGCAAGCAGGCACCTATATTGGACAGCAGTGATATAGGAAGAAGCTGGAGGTAGGTGATCACTTTAGAGACAACAGCAGAAGCATCATTTCATTCTGCATGGAAGGAGGCAATGGTAAACCACTCCTGTATTTTACCAAGGAAGCCCCATGGATAGAAAACCTTGGGAAAAATCTACCCATGTGGTTACTAGGAATTGATACCAACTTGTTGGCACATAATCAGTCAATCACCTGTAAAGTTGCCTGCTTACCCAAAGGAAGTCTCTGTAGGCATAGTAATACAGCCAGTCATGTACCACCACATTCCAGGTTCGGTAATAGTTTGCAAAAGATGTAGAATTCCACCAGTCCTAAAAAGGTATAAAAAGGAGCAGAGAATGAAATTCAGAATTGAGGACCACTCTGCCAAGGATCTGCTGCTACTCAAATATTTCAATAGCAACTGAAATATAACCTTCAGATTTCTAAGTTGAGAGTACATTGCAACTTTACACCAGTTTGGTGTAGTGACTAAGGCATCAGGCTAGAAACTGGGAGACCCTGAGTTCTAGTCCCGCCTTAGACACAAAGCCCGCTGGCTGACCTTGGGCCAGTCTCTCAGCCCTAGGAAGCAGGCCATGGCAAGCCACTTCCAAAAGACCTTGCCAAGAAAACTGCAGGGACTAGTCCAGGCATTTGCCAGAAGTCAAGACTGATTCAAAGGCAAAAAAAAAAAAAAAAGTTGCAATTTACATTTCTAATCTATCAAAACACCCTAAAATGGAAGCATACAACTTGATGTCTTCCAGGTCTTTTGGTTTTGCTGGAATAATCAGTAGACAGGAATAAGATAAGGTCTGATCCCAAAGCATATGGAAGACCCCACATTGCCTACCACTGCCCACAAAACTCACTTGCAGTATAAGGAACTCATCTCTCAAAAATTCTTACCAGATTCTTTAAGGCTTGTCCCTTATAAGAATATTAGATCCTTGTAGGGAGAACACTATAAAGTAGATTTGCTGTGGCTCAAGAGCTATTTTTATCATTGTTTTTCTAGGCTGCACAAGTAACTATTACAAGCTTAAAGAAAACAGCAGATTCAGAACAAGCTTCCGTAAGATCATCTGCCATTCAAAGACTTCATCACTTGCCAAGACTAACAAAGCATATTCTTCTTATGCAAAACCATGCCAAACTACTAAAATAGTTGTTTTAATTCACAAAAACAGACAGCCTAACACATTCAAGGCAAGTCTATATATTTAATACCTCAGTGCAAATGAACAGGAAACTCAGCAGTAACATCCATAGGTATGGGACCTTCTGTTCACTAAAAGTCTGATGCAATCTCTCCCCAAAGGTTTTCAAGGATAGCAATATTCTGGGGCTTTAGTAACTATGTGTATCTATGCACATACATGTACACCCCTATCCATATGTGCATACAGCACAAGCACATGCAATTTCTTTCAAATGGACACTTTTTCCTTCTTGCCAATTATTTGCTATTCAGTACAGTTGTAGTGAACACTTCAGAAAAGGGTGGCAGACGACGAGCGTTGGGCCTCATTTACCTTATAAAACATTCTGTCAGCAAAGCGGAGCACCTCCGCAAAAGCATTAAGCCAGCAATGAAGGAATGCAAAGAAGGTCAGGAACAGAATCAATACACCTGGGAAAGCATTAAAGGGGGGAAAAAGCAGGTTAATTCAGTATGATAAATGCTGCTTATATTTGCAACTTAAGGTTAAAAACAGGCTGCACCTTCAGTGGTCTGAGAGTATCCTAATGACACCCATGAAAACAACAAGTATATACTGTCATTTTTAAGAACCCCACTGCAAGTTACCTTCTGGGGCAGCATTTCTGAAACTGTAAGGTAGCACAGCCCTTGAGTGAACAGATTTCAGCAGCATCCCAGGGACAATGTATGCTGAAAAGTGGGAGTTGGTCTGAGGGCAAGGCTGTAGTGTGCAGATTGGAAGAAAGGGGTGAAAGGGATAAACAGGCAGAGCAAGTAGGTGTTTGGAACAAAGTTTAACAATAAGAAAGGAGGAAATAGTTTATATTTTTAAAACATCTACTTTGAGGAGTTTTCACTTGGACAAGCGGTATCCTTTCTGTAAGTAAAGGGTTACTGAGTGGACAAGAAGAAATATTCACAGTTCTTATGTTTTCTGGCCATGGTGATGGCCAACCCCTCTGTAGAACATCCACATAGCACTGGCACCTATGTAGGAGTGTCTACAGACCAAGCAGAAATGGAGCTAGGAGCATTTGGAGCAGGGGACTTTCTGTCCCTGTGTGGAAAAATGGCAAGAAAAGAGTTTACAGTAACTCAGAAACAATCGGGATAGAAAAAAGGGATGAGAAGGAAGCTGTTATAGGAAGAAGTCAGTATAAAAGTAGGAGAAAGAAAGAATGAAAGAGACTGGGAGTTGTAGAGTTAAGGTGAAAGTCAAACACGAAAGAAGGAATACTTTGAAAGGCTTGTGGGGAAGAAATACAATTTCAGACGGGGGTTTACTCTGTGTAGAATCTCTGGTCAGCAACTGCTGCATAATATGGTGCAGAATTTGATCCCCCATGGTATGGTATATCCAGAAGCAGTGTTTATATTTAATTTAAGGAAACTGGAACTCCCTTGCACAAGAAAGTGATTGGAGTAAGGAATGTAGAAGTTTATTTGTACTTATGTTATTTTAGAAAAGTATAAGGCTGCCCAGCAATACAATGATTAATGTCCTTCTGGTACAAAATCCCTATGAAAGAAATAGTGCTTGTGTTCTGTTATTTGCTCTGATCCTTGAGAGGTCTTCTTCCAACACATATCTAGCATGCCTCACTTGTCCATTTGTTAGCTACTGCATTAGTAATTGTATTGCATTCAAAAGCTTTCACTGAAAGAGCCACAGGCTGATTCACAGGAGCTCACCTGGAAGAATAGAGTTGAAGATGCAAAGAACTAGTCCTCGTAGATTGAAGTGTTCCTGGTTATAATTCCGATACACTGGAATACAGAGTCTTACAAATACGTAGTAGGCATAGAAAAATGAACCAAGAACCTAGGCAAAAGGGAAAACCAAAATCAGTTAACAATCAGAGACATCTGAAAGGAATCACTGAGCAAATAAAAAAAAATATTGACCACCTTTCTCTCTCAAGTGGTCTTTATTTTATTTTACTATTCCTTAGGTTCTAATAGTTCCTAGATGTAGAGAAAAGGGTGGAAAATATACCCCTAAAAGCAAAGAAAGTTATTCAGAAGCTTTTCCTTTGCTGGCTTTGTTTAAATCCTCTACAAGAGTCTTCTACAACCTAGACCTCTCCAGATGATTTTGGGCTATAATTCCAAACCTTGGAGAAGGCTTTCTACAAGTTCCTCAGCTTACCTCTGACGGAGTTTCGGGGTTCTCGGTAGACAAAAGAAAAAGAAAGTCACCCTTGTCTGTGTATGTGTTCCACGCAGGCTCTATAGCACATATATATGCTTACTACGTTGAGCTATTTAAGAGTTGGCATGCCAACAAATGGTGGTCTGGACACTTGTGATGCTTATACACTAACTCCATATAAATGATCCCACGCATGAGATAAATGTATCTACATGGGACTGAGCCCACAGGAAATACTTGCCGCTGTCTGAAAAACCCTATTATTATTGGACTAATATGGCACAGGACAAACAGATAATTTTAATCAAAATTATACTTGGAGTAACACTGGAGTAGATTATCCATTAAATCAGGACTAGTAGCTTCTCTGGTGTCTTTCTGATGTTTAGGACTATGTTTTCCATAAACTGTAACCAGTGTGACAAATGAACATAGATATGGGAATTAATCCAAAGTATTTTGAAGCAACTAGTTGCATATTCCTGCTTTAAATAACAGGTGTTGAGGAGAATTTAATTTATTAATAACTAGATTAATTTTGGAGAAGACCACATCTCACGCCGCAGTCATGGCTAGGGTTTTGATGATTGTTTAGGATGAGATAGCTATATCCCCAGCTGTGGAACAACAAACAATAAGAAGAGCTCAAAGGAAGCATTTTTTAGAGAGGCAGAAAAAAAGAATAAACAAATAGTGTTCTGGGAGCACACCACACCTCAGATAGTAAGTTGTTCCACAGAGCTGTTTTATATGTTAATCCCCAATTAAAACCAAAACTTGTATTGACTGATGAACATGGAAGATTTGTTGAGGTGGAAGTTGAATTACATGGAGTTAAAACTATAGTTCTGGGACTTTATGCTCCAAATGAAGGTAAAGGGCCATGGCAGAAAAGGCCCTCT